ATTGAAGGATAGGGGGTAGACCTTAACGTAAGCTGCCTCAAGGCCTACCCACTATCCTTCAATCAGAGCCAATCACAGCTCGGCGTTGTTCTGACGTCACAGCCACCCGTGCAAAAGAAGCAGACGAACTTGCACTCCGCGCACTTACTGACAGGCTAAAAAACGCAGGGCGTGTGGCTTCATGATTCACTCTTCGGCGTCCTGATTGGCTCATGCCGCAATCTGATTGCATTAGGAGCGATAATTAGATGTTCGAGACTCGCCGCGTCCTGCGTTCTCTTAAGCTGTTATTGGCTAAAGAATTGTGAACTTAATTAGTCACGCCCCGCCCTCTTGGGATGTCAGTCACTATGGATATGGTGCATGGAACGCGCCTCCTAACGGCCTGGAACGCGTCAAAAGTGGTCTCGAGGTGGCAGCAAATGACGTCACAAAAGCCTGGGTGTCACACTGACGGATGTCGCGAACCTGGCGGTTGGTCGTAGTAATGCCGGTGAAAAACGGGAGCGAACGCGCGATGTCGCCGTCGTTGTGGCGTACCAACTCCTGGCTTCCGAAGCTTCCGTGGTCTGTCGAACTAGATTACGACATGCAGCAGAACAGGCGTTTGTCTCATACACCACCGCTGCTGAGACACCGCCAGGATTGCGACGAGTAACGGCATGGCACTTTAAGGTCATCTGGCAAAACTCGAGGCATTTTTTTGACGCGGTAAACACGTATTAGGGGACGCGTTCCAATCAGTATACCGTAAAAAATTGAATGGTCATTTCCGAACAGTTTCGTAGCTAGCATCGTTGTCAGATACCCGGAGCAACGAGATCAGATACGTCGAGCTTATTGGAGAGCGAGAAAGGAAGAAAAAGTCTTACGTGAGATTGACTGTCTGCAGAAAAATCATGATGGCACCTCAAACTGGAATTTATTGTAAATTGACTTATGTTTTCTAGCATGGAGCGGTAGACAATGTGAAGCTACAACCTCAAACAGCAGCACATCGTGTTTACTCGAATAATATCCAGTAATTGTCAACGGTCAAGCTTTTCTTTGGCATCAGGAAACTTCGTCGACTTATTTGAATAGTACGCGTGTAGATGGATGTGCGTACGAGTAAACTGCATGCCTATTGAGAAGATATGGAACTTGCATAAAAACGAACAACTTGAAAATAAAACTGAAGCTATTTTCCGTTCAGGTTTTACTTTTTATGCCCTGGGCCGTTGTTTTCGTGTTTATATAAAACAGGACGAGGCCTTTTTGATCGGAAACTCAAGCGGGTTAAACGCGTAATGACGTTATAGATAAAAATTATGTAATATGAACGAACATGTAACGCCATTTAGCTGGAATATGTTGAGCGCCGCTATTAAAAGATACGTCCTTTAACTGAGTTACCCATTCTCTCATACCACGATCATCAAATTCTCCAGGAAGACCTTGCGTCTGTGATCTAGGGGTGCGAAAAATGGCATCCCTGTCCTTTTCCCGAGGTTCACGTGCCACATTATTTTCGTACTACTTGGCTAACACTCAAACAACAGCCTGCTCATCCTATAAATACCTGGGTGTTCATCTCCCCTCTGACCTGTCATGAACTACTCACATAACCTGTGTTCTTGCTGATACTAATCGCACTCTCGGATATTTGCGCAGTGACTTCAAACTTGCTACACCCTGCGTAAAATGATTAGCGTATACAACTCTTATAAGATCCAAGTTAAAATATGGTTCATCTGTACGGTCTCTATGGCAGTCATACCTCCCAAATCGTTTAGAATCTATTCAAAACGGAGCCCTTCGTTTGATTTATAATAACTACTCAATATATACCAGCCTATCAGGATTTGGTCAATCGGCTAACCTTCATACACTTTCCCTTCGCCACCGAGTGTCACGCCTCTCTCTTCTTCATCGAATTGTCTGTCACAATGCCCACCTCAGCGGATCATTACTATCACCTTCCCACGCTATTTTCCCTCGTTTACATCACCCATGTAAATTACGTCGAATTCGATCATCAACTGTTTCTCAGCAGACTTCCACACTACCATTGGTTATCGAGAATTGGAGCTCACTCTCTGACAACGTCGTTTCTGTAAATTACACTGCTAAATTTGTTGTATCCATTTCACTTTTTCTAGCTTATCTAACTAGCTTACAGTGTTATATTTGTGTTTACTGTTCTACTTTTCTGTTTTATTGCCACCCCCTGTATAATGCTCTAAGGACCTTAAAAAAAATAACTGTAACACCAGGGCTAAGAGCCATAACTGCACTGCTTAAAGGGATACTGAACCAAGGAATTTAGTGTCCATAATAAGTGTGCTTGGTAGAAGAGCGTGTTGGATGAAAGATGTGGTTGTGTTGTCCCTGTTTTAATTGTTTATTCTTTCTTCATCCATGCCATAATAAGTGGCGCACGTTCTTGCCACGAGCCAGCAGCCGCCAGTGTGCGCGAGCGCACGCAACAAAAATGACGTCAAAGACCTCTATTCGCGGTTAAGACGACAGTGAAATGTATGGGCTCCGGGCCAAAGGAGAATAAAGACAAGCTTTTCATCTACGCAGTGGTGTCTTGTGTAAAAGGTAAGCGATTAATTGGTCTAACAAGCACGTAGCTTTCACTTGTAGAGATGAAAAGCCTGTCTTTATTCTCCTTTGGCCCAAAGCCCATGCATTTCACTGTCCTCTTAAGCGCGAATGGAGGTCTTTGACGTCATTTTCGTTGCGTGTCCTCGCGCACACCGGCGGCTGCCGGCTGGTGGAAAGAACGTGCGCCACTTATTAGGAACCCTAAATTCTTTGGTTTGGTATCTCTTTAATAACTGACGGCGCTACGAGCTATCCCCAGGTCCGTTCGTTCAAAAGAGAGGGTGTTCAACATGGCCGAACTTTGTCGACAACTAACTCAGTAGCTGATTTTATGCCGAACTGTTTCCACAGAGTGAAGTCCATACTTGTTTCGAACACTCTTTCGACAACGTCTGGTTTTTTTTTCCTTGTTTTTTTGTAAGGCTGATTTGTTTTTGTTGCTTTCAATTTTCGAAGAGCAATCTTCTGCTGTAACTGCTAAAGGTCATACAAGTCCTACTAACATAATTAACATAAAAGAGTTTGTCTTTAACCCCGTCTGTAGATTTGTCAGTGGAGCCACAAACTTTCCGATTAATTAACCTTGCGAGCATCAACAATATAAGTAGCGCCTAATAAAAGGCATACACTACAATGGTCCTAGTTTTCAATTATGAATGAATTGACTTATGTTGGCTTGTAACTAACATTTTTTGTTTTACCTTGAGAAGACACTAAGTCTATTTTGGTAACTACGATCATCAACACTTATATTGCCGCCCGCGGAGCCAAGAAGGCAACGCTTGGTCACGGTCTTCTAGAAGATTCCCAGTCATTCTCGCAGCAGACGTAACTTTCCCTCTGCTTTGTTATTCTCGAAAGTGCCAGTTCATCCTCGCCCCGAGCGCGCGACGCTCGAACCTTCCTTGCCGAACTTTCGAGATAGTGACGCGCGACGCTCGAACCTTCCTTGCCGAACTTTCGAGATAGTGACGCAAGGCAGATAAGCAGCTGCCCGCGACCTTGTCGAGTCAGTCTCAGTCTCGCTCCCGCTCTGCTTCGCCGCCTAATCGCCGCCTGCTTTTCTACTGCCTCGACGCTCTTTCGTTACTTATTTTTGGTTGGCACAAGTTCGCCAATTAAACCTTTATTTTCAGTTTACTCTTTGCTTTCTCGTCGCCTTAATTCGTGACAATATGATGTGATTTACGATCACTTTAACTTCAATAACAAGGTCCAGGCTTCTATTTAAAAGAAACTTTCTTAACAACCGAAGATTTTGCCACCCGTAGCACGCGTTTGCCGACCACTCTAAGTCGCACTTGGAGGAACTATTTTTTATGCGCCTGTGTGTTTTGGGTTTGGTCTATTATCGTATTCGCACTTTGTTTTTCATGAAACATTATTTATCAAGCCCTTAATTATATACACGCTAAAGTTTTCGCAATTTGTTTCTTCCTTTGATGGCATAGCATTTGTAGCCATTTAGTTTCCAATATTTTTACAGGTTTACGTATATCCTATAGTTTATGAATAAAAAAAAATCAATTTACTAAAATAATTATTGGGAGCTTTGTTATTAGAAAAAGAAATTGTATATAGTTTAAGAAATTATCATGCAGTGTGGTTTGCTCTATGAGTAATTCTTAAAAAAAGAAGCGCCAACAGCATCGCTCTAATTATCTAGTGCAGTTAAGCAAGCACGCTTACGAATGCCGTAATAAAAACCATAAGGGTGAGCGTGCGGGCGAGTTAGGGAATGCTGAACATAACTAAACCTAAAACTCGGAAGCAAAAAAAAAAAAAAAAAAAACTCACACACACACACCGTGCGTGCTCATTTTATTTTCTGTGGGTATTCTTTTTTATTGTGTTTCCGGTAGTATTTGAGGGTTTCTTTTTTTTATGATGCGAACTCAACCTATTCGCTGTAAGCATCTTATAGAACCCCAAATTACAATCCTGTGTTACCTTTCTTTTTCTATTAAAATTGAAACAAACCCTTCTGAGTCGCCCCTTTGCTGAGGTTAATCTCAGAAAAGGGACGTATCGCAATGTTTTTGGTTCTGTTTTAATCAAAAGAAAAGACCACGCATGATTGTTTTTTTTTGTTTGTTTGTTTTCTAGGATGCTTAGGTACAAAGAATAAGTTTACGCTATACAAAGACAAACTCAAAACCCACTTTAGTGCTCCCTTAACTGTTATAAAAGTCGAAAGAAACATTTAAACCTGAATTAAGAAGAAAAAAAAACGTTCGTTTCTGCTTTTTCATTTGTCTAGGGTTGTGCCCCTCATACTTCGTGCTTGTTCGCAGTTGATCATGGGTTGCTTGGTCGCGAGTGTCCTTGCCGAAGACCAGTTTCAGCGGCCTGGTTTCAACCAGGGCTATTCGGGAATTCAAGGCTACGCCCCGTCAGCTGCTCGTTCAGTCAACGCCGAGGAAAACTATGTAAGTTCCATTCCCAAACCCTGCTATCTGTTGCGAAAAATCCTACAACTGTAGAGATATCTCGCTGATTATTTAAGTCGGTATCATATCAACGTCGTCCTATGCTTCACTCCCAAGATTTAATTATAGTAAAATTATTTAAGATTAAAAAAAAAAAAAAAAAAAAAAAAAAAAACTCAACGAATTCGGCGTTTTTCTGATACGCGACTGTATACAACAACAACTGGTCCATGCAACGGCTTTTGCGAAACTTGTTCTTATTAACTGCACCAACGTGCATACCGAGTGAACATCGGGTGAATGCCAAATGAAATTCTATATAGCTCATAAAGACAAAATCTTTAATAAAATTTAAAAAAAAATAAGAACACTACGGAGCACCCTGGTTCAAAAACGGTTTGTAATATATATATTTTTTTTTTTGCAGCCTTCAATGCCGTTCAGCTTTGGCTACGACACCGTGGACGAGTACGGCACCAGGCTCTTCCACCAAGAGCAGAGCGACGCCAACAACGCCCGGACGGGAAGCTACGGCTACATGGACGCCAACGGGATCTACCGCCGCGTCAACTACGTGGCCGACGCCAACGGCTTCCGGACCACCATCGAAACCAACGAGCCGGGAACACAGGCCGGCAGGAGCGCCGACGCCATTTTTAACGCCAGGCCCGTAGCCGCCGGAACGAGGTTCGGGGCTCCCGGAGGCTTCGGCGCGTCAGCTGCGAACGGCAGGGGTGGCCTCGCCCGCTCCGGATCGTCTCAGCACGGCTCCAGCGTGTCCGCCAATAGTGTATACAACCAGGCTGCGGCCGGTCGTCCCGGTTACAAGCAAGGCGGCTACGGAAAAGCAGGGTACGGTCAGGCCGGAATTGTTCAGGCTGGAATCGTTCAGGCCGGCAATGTTGAGGCAGGAATCGCTCGGGCCGGATACGGTCAGACCGGACATAGCCAATCTGAGAACGGTCGAACTGGATACAGCCAATCTGGGAGCGGTCAGGGCAGATATAGCAAGGATGGATATATTCATGACGGGAACTCCCAGGCCGTGTACGATCGGACCAGGTATGATCCGCAGAGGTCCGCATACCATGCAAAAAGCCAGGCCGGTTTTGCGTCTCGGTATTAAAAACCAATTGATTTGAACATTAGGTTTTTATGTACAAGCCTGTGTAGTTTGTACGTAAAAGAGGATGCGATTGACCACTGCAGCGTCCAAGTACCGGGATAATAATATACTAATCGCCAGCAGCTGAAAGGCATTCTCACACTCAGCAACGTCCAAAACCATAGTAAGAAAGAAAAATAGACATTTGTACATTTTCGGTTCTTTCCTCGAAGGAAAGTTCCCATCACACTTAATTTGTTTAACAGTTCATTACATTAATTCTTCACAAACATGCTTCATGTGAGAATGAGTAGCGTCTGGGTTCGAGAACACTTGATTAAGCACGTAAACGTGGCATCTGTGAACGGCAATTACTGAGCCTACTTATTTCTTGTGGACGATTTGTTTGTTTTTCACGACGGTTCGTGCTCAACTTGCGTTTAAGTTTTATTTAGTTCTCTCTCACAGAATGAAGATGTCAAATGTAAACAAAAACTGTAGCTGAAGTGTCCACTATTTGTTTTCTTAGACGCTGTCAGCTGCTGTACGAGATGATTTTTTTTTTAAAGAAAAGTGCCATTGTTATTAAGGTTATGTGTGCATGTGTGTGAATACGTCGCTGCTGTGTAAGAAGAATATTTGAAGTTTTTTCAGATGTTGCTTTTCATACCCTACAACAACGTTAGAGTCGAGTTGAAATTTGTTTTTAGAAAAAAAATTCTGAGTATCCTAAATAAAAGATTTATGCTCTCCGGATATTATCGAGAACATTCAGGGTTTCAATATTTATTCTGAAACAGGCAACAACATAGCATAAACAGTTCCGTGTAGTTTTGTCAATAAAACTACTAACGAAGACACGTTCTTGCGAAGCATAGAAGACTTAGAGACCAAAGTAACTCTGGAATTGCACTCTACTCGGAATTTTGGCGTGATTTATCTAGGAAACTAAGAACTCTTCTGACAGCCGATAGTACTTTTTTGGTGATTGTCAGAAGTATGGAGCTAATAACATTTTGAAGTCTGGGGTTGCTAAAACATAGCTAATGAGTCAAGTTGTGAAAACAATTACAAACTTTCTTTCATGGTTTTCTACAGAATGTATAAGTGGATATAGAGTTCACAATTTTTAGTCAGTGTTGTACATTTTAACATTTTATTGCTCATTCCTGAATGAAATGGTCATTTTACTCTCATGTCAGCGACGGTTTTCTTCTTACGTCTAATAAAATTGTTTCCGTTTCTTTTCATTTTCGATTTCTCTTTTTACGTGAACTTGGTAGAACATACGTGATCCGATTTACCTCGATTTTATCCCATATTCCACGATAATTTAGCTAAGACTTGTAGAGGTTGCTTCTTTAATTGTTTCTGGAAGACCAGTTTCGAGTGATATATGCAAGTCGTCGGCTTCTTGCGCAGGGGTTGCAGTGACGTCAGAACGAAGTCGAGTTCTGATTGGCTTTGATTGGAGAAATAGTGGATAGACCTTCGAGGTTTACCCACTATGTTTTTCAATCAGCCAATAAGAGCTTGGCATTCTGACATCATCGCAAACCCTGTGCAAGAAGGAGACGAACTGGCGCTCTGCATACGCTGTTCTATACTGAACAATAGACGGCGATTTGTCCAGCTTGTTTTCAACGCAGCTCGGTGTTAATTGACTACTTCCAAAACCGACGCGCCCCATCGCGGCGAAATACTACGCAATGCACTCTGGGAACTAGTTGGCCACTCAGTTTCGGTTTCGACTGAGCAGCTTCATCTCATGCTATCACGCGGCGACCGAACGCGCTGCTTGCGTTTTCGATTATCTAACTTTTCACGAACGTGCAATACACTCATTCTGGAGCAATACAAAACGAAGACCGGGGCACTTTCCTTGGTTCCCGAAACACAGGATATTGTGCGTTCGCATGCGAACTGAGTAAGTCGTGTTTTAGTCACTTCACCCCACGAGTGCATGTTTGAGCTCAATTTCTATAATCCCGTCTAGTACCAGTGAACTAGAACTGAAATTTGTTCATCTGGAGCCTTACACGTATTTTGTTGGCCAAACGTCCGTTTCTTGTTACTTCATTGGGCGAAAAGCAAGCCGCATCCTCACAGGGTATCAAAGTTGAGCCCAGCATTTACGCATGGACGTTTAAGCAAACGCAACAAATTCGACCTCACTACTGCACAAAAGTTACTATGATGTCTTCCTCGTGTCATCATATATCTCCCACTCAAATTTTATGCTGATAGATGATTAACTTATCGCAAACGCTGTGATCGGCTAGCTACGACGGAGGCCCTAACAAGCGTCCCCTACTCCTCGCTAAGCCTTTTTGCGCGAGTTTTTACTGACGCCCAAGATCTGTTTCTGAACGGTGTGTCTGAAATTATCTCGGCATACTCAGGCAGGAAGAAAACAAACACATAACAAATATTATGGCCATTAGCAACCGTCAAACGCGCTTTGAATTCGTTCGAGCACTTGTGTGAAGAATGTCGCACCGTGCGCCGGACGGGCATGAACCCCTATGAGGTACGGATAGGGGTTCATGCCCGTCCGGCGCATTTCCGGCGAACGGTGCGACATTCTTCGCACAAGTACTCGACTTCTGCTTCCTTAAAACGGTCTGTATGTGCGAATTTGCCTATATGATTGCAGGATAACTTACGCGATGTTGAATATTAGTGGAATGCCAGCAGGTGGGGACTTCACTTCGTGCAGGGCTGCGGGTCAGTGCAGATAAGAGATAAGAAGTGTGTTAAAATTGAGCTTTTCAATGACGCCTCCGCGTTTTACCTAGCATACTCGGTATTATTAAGTAAAACAGTAATTGCAAAAAGTAATATTTCGTCTATGGACGCACGAAAAAAACACAGTTCCTGATCAACAACACTAATGCAAATGCGCGAGCTCGATGTATTTGTACTTATTGGTTGCAACAGCTTGTTGATTCGTACAGAAGCAAGATCCCCGAGCTTCGCAGCGTCGAGATTGCCAGCATTGGCTCGTCCACATACCTCGAAACGCTAACAGAAAGGCTCAAGTACAAAAATACAACAAGCATGTGTTAAGACAAGCTATACGTCTCAGGCTTGTGCTAAAGCTTCAAGGCCTGCCCATTTAGGTTAGTTTAGAGACCACAAATGACGCTCTCGGGGACCAGAAAACAATCTCTTGTCGACGTGCCGATCGAAACCGAAACCATGCCACCCTCCTCCCTGGCCAACTAGTTCCCAGAGTGCAACGCGCGCCGTGTTGCATGCAGGGCTTTATGGAAGTAGTCTATTCAGCACACGTCTTGTGCTCTAAATTATATCTCCCATCTCCTCCATTGATAGTTCCACTCATATTCAGCACGAGGGTTGCGTCATTGTTTGGGTCGAACTCGTGCCCCGTCAGGGCTTCGCTGATTGAACGCTACTCCCAGACGAACGCTGTCGTCAAACTCGGCTACATCAGCGAAAGGCTGCGTCAAAAAAAAAAAAAAGTGTAATTTATGCCTGTAGCCCCGCAGGTGAATTGAACCGCTATGGGTAGAAATGTGACATTTTCTGCCCTTCAATGAGAAAAGAAGATCGAATATAAAACCAGCTTGGAGAAAAAAAAGTACTTCCCTGCAGCAGGAAATAGGCACCGGTGAGATTCGAACTCACGATCTCCTGTTTACTAGACAGGCGCTTTAACCAACTAAGCCACGGCGCCGATGTACTGCACTATACAAAATGCTTGAACACAAAACATTGTCTCTCTCTCTCTCTCTCTCTCCGTTTATCTTTTTAAGATATAATTTAAAGATTTAACTATTTCCCATCCCACAAGATATAGTTGTGGCATTGTTCTTTCCCATTTGACAATATGCTCCCATCTGATGCACTACTCAGCACTATTTGGTCCGTTAGATGTTTGAGAAGTAAGCTTAATCAGAAAAAAAGAAGACTTTTTTTTTGCTAATGAGTGTACTATTGGGGGGAATAAAATATTTCCGTGACATAGCTTGTTTAATTAAATTGTATTGGCCACTCATTACAACATTTTACAGATGGCAAGATGTAATTAGCCATGTTTAATCACATATTTACTTAACTAACGTTTATTAGCGGGCCGTTTCGACATTTGTACACGCACAAGTATTCATGTGCGCGTACGAAGTATTCATATATCTATTATACATGCTACATGCAAAATCCGCATGCAGGGTAGATTTCAAGCTGGGAAAGCTTTTTAATGTTGCGTGTTTTTCGGTAGATAAGTGGTTTCCTTGTGCACAAAAAAAGTGTTAACTAAATTTATATATATATAAAAAAAAAACATCTTCGGCTCTATCACGCTAGTAACATGCGTCTTTTCTCAATAAACGTGGATAAAATATACGGGGACTCTCAGCAACAAAATGTTTGGGGCAAAGCAATGTTATGGTTAGTAAAAACTTGAAATGCGAAGCCTTCACTTTCATTGAAGCATTCTATTGTAATAAATTCACGAGTTTCACTTCCATATAATGTTTTTTTTTTTTCAAATGGAAGTAAATGAAAAAAACAAATCAAAGTGTTTTTGTAAGCGGGAGGATTTGTTTTGAGTCCACTGCGTACGTCTGAAATATCACCCTATGCAATGTATTAGGTTTAGTGGATAGCCACCTGAAGGTTGGTTTGATAAGTAGCACAATCTTAGGGGGAATTTTCACAACTCAGAGACAGCCCGCGGCTGCGATCATTCGACCCGATCTCAACCTCGAATTTCTAAACGCCGTTCCGAACTGTGACGCAGTGCTCGCGTCCAATCACTCGGTGAAATGGCCTTCCTGCACGAATACATTTCTAGAAACTACGTTTCGCTAAAGTTGAAATTTAAAGAACCACACGCAGAGGAAGGAAATCGGTTCAGAGACAACAGCGCACTCGCTTCCATTGCGTTCACACCTCGGGCAACGAAAGAGCGCTGTCTCTGGGTACGCATACTAATTAGTACACGGCGATGGGCTCGCTCAAAAAACCGGCTCTCAAAAAAGAAAAAAAAAATGCTC